AATAAAAAATTTTAAAAATAAAATCGAGAACTGTAAAAACGAAAATTCGAAAAATTAAAGAATCCTAATATTGAAAAATTCTTAAACTGAAACAATGCAACATTGAGAAATCGAAAAATTGAAAAATCAAACACCTGAAAAATCGAAAAATTGCAGAAATGAAAAACTGAAAATTCCATAAAAACAACGAAAACTCAAGAACTCAAGAAATGGGAAAATCAAGAAACCTAAAAATCGAAAATGTAGAAAGTCTGTACATTGACCTGACTGAAGAATCGAAATACTGAAAAATCCTTAAACTAAAATATTGAAAAATTAAAAATCGAAATACTCAAAAATCTCAAAACTGATACAACGCAAAATTGTGAAATCGAAAAATTGGAAATTCTAAAACTGAACAGTAAAACTCGAAAAGTCAAAAATTTGAAAAATCTAAAATTCAAAACTTCCAAAAATTGAAAAATAAACAAAAAGACCAACTAAAAAATCGAAAATTCGAGAAATCGAAAAATCTAAAATCTAAAATATCGAAAAATTAAAATATCACAAAATTGAATTCTCGAAAAATTGAAAAATTCAGATATCGAGAAATTTTTAATTTCAAAATTCGAAAAATCGAAAATTTAGAAAATATGTAAATCAAAGCGATAAATCAAAAAATTAAACAATCGCAATAATGAAAAATCCTTTAACAGAAAATATTAAAAAATTAACAAATCGGTAACTTGAAAAATTGAAAAATTAAAGAAAAATTGGGGAATTTGACAATTAAAAAGTCCGAAATTTGAAAAATCAAATAACAGAATTGAAAAATTGCAAAAAATCTGAAAATCAAAAAATCAATAAATCGAGAAGTCGAAACGTCGAAAACCCGAGAAATCGAGAAATGAGGAAATCAAGAAATTTGAAAGTCGAAATATCAAAAATTTTTAAAATCAAAATCACAAAATTGAAAAACTGAAAATTCTAAAATCGAAAAGTAAAAAACTTTGAAATAGACGAACTGAAAAATCGCCAATTCGGAAAATACAAAAAATTGAAAAATCTAAAATTTCAAAAATGTAAAAATCGAATTGAGAAGACGACAAACCGAAAAATCTAAATTTTAAAACTTCGAGAAATTGAAAAATAGACAAACAGACCAACTGGAAAATCGGAAAGTCGAGAAATTGAAAAATATGAAATCTAAAAAATCGAAAAATTAAAATATCGCATAATTGAATGATCGAAAAATTGAGAAATCCAGAAATCGAAAATACAGAAAATCTGCAAATCAAAACGAGAAATCAAAATAATGATGAATCGAAACATTAAAAAATCCTTAATACTGAAAAATTAACAAATCGATAACTTGTAAAATTGAAAAGTCAAAGAAAAATTGAGGTACTGAAAAATTAAAAAATCTCGAAATTGAAACATTAAAAAACTGAGAAATCGAAAAAATCGAGAAATTGAAAAATCAAAAATAAAAAAAAATTGGAAAGTTGGAAGATCAAATAATTGAAAAACTGAAGAATTGAAGACCCAAAAAATTGAGAAGTCGAAACGTCGAAAAGCCGAGCGATCAAGAAATTGATAAACCGAAAAATCTAAAAAATCCATAATTTAAAACTACGAAAAATTTAAAAATAGATAAACATACGAACTGAAAAGTCGAAAATTCGAAAAATCTGAAATCTAAAAAATCTAAAAATTAAAACATCCCATAATCGAATGCTCGAAAAATAAATCGAAATATCAAAAATGTAAAATTTCGAAAATTGAAAAATAGACAAAAAGATGAATCGAAAAACCGAAAATTTAAGAAATCGAAAAATCTAAAATATCGAAACCTTAAAATATTGCAAAATTGAATACTGGAAAAATTGAAAAATTCAGAAATGGAAACATCAAAAAGTCTAAAAATCCCAAAGTCGAAAATGGAAAAAATGTATAAATCAAAGCGAGAAATCAAAACATTGAAGAATCGAAATATTAAAAATCCTTAAACTAAAATATGAAAGTAAATTGAAAAATCTCCAAATTGAAACATCAAAAAACTGAGAAATCGAAAAAAATCGAGAATTCGAAAAATCAAAAATTGAAAAAGTTGGAAAGTTGAAAAATCAAATAACTGAAAAAACGAAAAATTGAAGATTTGAAAAACTAAAAATCTAAAACAGAAAAGCAAAGATCGAAAGACCGATAAATCGAAATACCAAAAATTTGAAAAATATAAAATTTAAAAATTCCAAACATTGAAAAATAGACAACTCAACGGATTGAAAGACCGAAAATTCGAGAAATCGAAAAACCTAAAATTTAAATAATCGAAAAAAGTCTGTAAGCTAAATTGAGAAATCAAAAAATCGAAGAATCGAAATATTGATAATTGAAAATAAATAAATCGATAACTTGAATAATTGAACAATTAAAGAAAAATTTAAAAACTGAAAAATCTCGAAATTTAAACATCAAGAAAACTGAGAAATCGGAAAATTAAAAAATCGAAAATTAAAAAGATCGGAGAATTGAAAAATAAAATAACTGAAAAATCACAAAACTAAAGAATTAAATAATTAAAAAATCAATAAATCGAAAAATCTAAACGTCGAAACTCGAAAAATCGGAAATTTGGAAACGCCAAAAATTGAAAACTTGAAAAATAGAAAAGTCGTAAAACTAAAATTGAAAAACAATCGAGAAATGGAAAATTTGAAAATCGAGAAATTGAAAAATCGAAAAATCGAAAAATTCAAAACTGAAATATCGCAAAATTGAAAATCCAGAAATCGAAACATCAAACAATCGAAAAATCTAAAATTTAAAAAATTCCAAAATCGAAAATTTAAAAAGTTTGCAAATTAAAAGGAGAAATCAAAATAATGAGGAATCGAAATATTGAATAATCCTTAAACCAAAATACTGAAAAATTGAAAAGTCAAAGAAAAAACTGACAAATCGAAAAAATCGAGAAACGAAAAATCGAAAATTAAAAAAATTGGGAATTTAAAAAATCAAATAACTGAAAATTCGAAAATTTGAAGAATTGAAAAACTAAAAAATGGAAATGTCGAATAGTCGAAAAGCTGAGAAATCAAAAAATGAGAAACTCGAAAAATCTAAAAGTCGAAAAATCGAAAAATTGGAAAACAGAAAAATCTAAAACAGAAAAGCAAAAATCGAAAGACACATAAATCGAAAAAAATGAAAAGTAGACAAATCAACGAACTGAAGGACCGAAAATTCGAGATCTCGCGTAAGCTAAAAGTCTAAAAAATCGAAAAATTAAAATATTGCAAAATTGAATGTTCCAAAAATTGAAAAATCCAGAAATCGAAACATCAAAAAATTGAACAAAGAAAAATTGAAAAACTGAACAATCTAGAAATTGGAACACCAAAAAACTAAGAAATCGAAAAATAGAAAAATCGAGAAATCGAAACATCGAAAATTAAAAAATCGGAGAATAGAAAAATCACAAAATTGAATCGAAAATTTGAAACATCGAAAAGCCAAGAAATGGAGAAATAGGAAAATCAACATTCCTAAAGCTCGATAAATTGGAAAATTGGAAACGCCAAAAATTGAAAAGTCGAAAAACTGAAATTGAGAAACAAAACTATCAAAAAATCGAAAATTTGAAAATCGAGAAGTTGAAAAATCGGAAAATCGAAAATCGAGAAATTGAAACCTTGAAAAATCGAGAAACGAAATTATTCATAAGGAGTTCTACATTGGTGTTTCAAAAATTAAACATACAATCACTAATAATGTCTCTAATTTTGAAAAAGCTATTTGTTTGTTCTCGGTTAGAAATATATCAAAGATGTGTTGTTGCTTTTGCCTGTATAAAAATGGTTTTTTTTTTTTAAAGAGGCATGAAAGTTCACAAGAGATTGAAGTTAATTTATCTTATCTCTTACGAGTATTCTTAACCTGATTACATTATGTGAGTTAGTTTTGAAAAAAAAATTCTTTAGCTTTAACAATACTGTTTATGAACAACATATTGGTTTAGTACTAATGGAATTTTCCCTATCTCTATTTTTAGCAGAAATTTGTATGAACAATACAAACACAAAAAATAAAAAAGAGTGCGTCGACCCAGGGACGCACGGATGGAATTTTAACTCTGCGTTATTAATTTATATAAATTAAACACGTATACGTGGCGAAGTCATTATTTTTTTCTTACCTACATTGGTGACCTACGACGTGTTTTTCTTCGCTTACCTACACATTCACACCAGTTTATCTATCTCTCTTTCTATATGTGGGGCGGCGTTACATGCCTATGTTCAGATTCAGTCCACGGTGTCGGTGTCGAGAACATTGACACCGTGTTCGAGCTCGTAGCTGGAACTCGACATCCTATTCCGGCGCGAGTCGTATACGTGTTCTAAAATACGAAAAGAAAGGAGTTAAAACTCCAAAATCTTCTCAAATCCTTAATTTACAGACAAAATTTAATTCTGGAACCGGTACGAGGGTAACATTAATTTGAAAAACGTCTTTGTTTTTCGTCCGTTCCCACAACTTGTCCTTTAAAAACGATTTGACTTTGAGTATTTTTAAACATGGCACAAAATACTAAATAATAAACAATTTTTAAGACACTTTTACACTTTTGAACTTCACTTTACGAAAACCCAACAAGAACTAATTGATACAGGAAGAGAATTCGAAACAAACGTTGTAATATTAAATCTGACCTTCGCAAAAAAACAGGTGTTTAGCGGTGTAGAAAATACACATTTTAGAACAAAATAGGCAGAAAAAAGTAAAGTAGGTCGAAAAAACGCTAAATTAAAAAATTTTAAAACTCGGTTCTTGTTATACATCGTGGGCAAGAATACCTCCTACGTACATCCCACCGACTGCGCCAATTAATATCGTATGACCTCATTTCCCCTTACGTCACTGTTGTGTAACCTTTAAAATCCCCCCACTTGCATTTCTTTCGCTGCTCGTCTAGACCGCCTAATCCACTTTTTAAGCCCTTCAACTTTATTCCACAGATATTTACCGGTTAATGCTCAGCGACAAGAAATACGGCTTATCCGTAAATTTAATGGCAACCAAAGTGATGCCTTCGTTGTTACCGCAAACGGTAAATCCCTCCTTAAACTTAGAACAATTTACGATCCTCCTCGAAGTTTTACAAGAAATGTTGGACCAGATTGACCGAAACCAGCGTAATAAACTCAAACTGGATAACCTATCTCTGCCGAGTCCGGAGCGACACAGGCCATTAAGACACCAATACAGTTCCGACAACATGCACGTGCCGCCGTTCAACATCCCCAACCTGAGGATAGAGCAAAGGAAGACTTCGAGCGCGGAGGACATGGCGAGGAAGAATTCCACAGGTCGGTCAGATTTATTTTCCATTATGTAACTATATTACAGTTGGACGGAAAAGTGAGAATTCCGCGTGTCTAGAATGCCGATTCCGACTCTAAGATAGTTGAACGACGCAATCGTCGCTAGGTTTAGAGTTTTCCTTACGTTATGTGTAGGTGGTATGTTGGGCGGATGGTGGTTCGGAGGGTCGCCGTCGTCCCCTGACAGCAACTTCCTGAGGGTCGTCAACGCCTTCCCGAACAGAAGACTGTCGGACAACACCCTCATGACACCGAAGATACGCATTGCGCCCTCTTGTGCGTCGTCACCGGGAGGAACGCCGGGAGGTGGTTTGCCCATCAGGAGACACTCGAGCATCGGACCGCAGGAAAGGAGAGGATCAACGGTTAATCTCTCGCCACCGACGGTAAGCCCGAACGCGCAATGCTGCTCTTTGACTCGCAGGTATAGCAGCTGGCGAGATATTCTGATGGGAATTCCAACTAGACTTCAAATACTCAAAGCAACTAGCGCTGGATTAAGGTCAAACATGTTAAAGGTTATTCTATTTTTGAGGTAAACGTTGGCGTTTTCTTTGTCGTAACCAGCTATTGGCTGCGTTTGTTCACTTAAAGGTCGAGCATAATAGATGATTCAGTATAAGTTTTTCTTAGAAAGAACTCCTAGAAGCGCGCAGAAATCAAGACTTTGTGCAGACTAAACGATTTCTTGTTTACATTTTCTTTGATAAATACGTCGTCTGAGAACTTGTTTGATCTACAGACCAGAGCGCGATCAGGCAAATGAAGACTCTAGGCGTTCAGAAGCGAGGTTTCACTCGATTTTGTCATACAACTATTTTTTGTTTAATTATGAAATAATTCAGGAAGTAGATTTTTTTCTTGAAATACTTAATAATTGAAATAATCTCTTTTTAAAGTATAAAAATAAAAACTGTAGTCGGTATCATATAATATAATATACGTAGTCCGATACAAATCCTAACGCTATTTATAGTTTGTACTCGTAGCTATAAACGAAAATATAAATGTTTGACAGTTATTAGATGAATTTCTGAACTTTCGTCAATTGAAACACAACCATAATAAAATTTGTGATAATATTTCCCGCGCAATTCTTAGATAGGCAGTCAAATATTCATTAGTGCCTTTCAGATGATTTTTATTACTAACTATGTCCCAAGAAATTAATCTTTTCAAATTTTCGCTTTTTCGGCTTTTCAATTTCTCGATTTTTCAGTTTTTTTAAATTTCAGATTTTTCGATTTTTTGATGTTCCAATTATTCGAGTATTCAATTTAGCGATACTTTAATTTTTCCATTTTTTAAATTTAAGATTTTTCAATTTTTTGATACTTCGATTTATCGATTTTGAAATTTTTTTCTTTTCAGTTTCATATTTTTAATTTCTCCAATGAGATTTTTCAAAATTTCGATTCTTTCTTTTACGACTTTTCGATTTTTCAGTTTTTCGACTTTTCGATTTCTCAATTTTTTGATATTTCAGTTTTAGGATTTTTCAATTTTTCGATTCCTCGTTTTGATTACAGATTTTTTACATTTTGGATTTTTCAATTTTTTAAATTTCAGATCTTTCGATTTTTTGATGTTTCAATTTTTCTAGTATTCAGTTTTGCGATGTTTTAATTTTCTATTTTTTTAAATTTAAATTTTTGTATTTTTCAGCTTTTCGAATTTTTAAATTTGAGATTTTTCAATTTTTTAACATTTCCATTTACCGGTTTTGCGATTTTTACTTTTCAGTTTAAAATTTTTCATTTCTACAATTTTTCGATTTTTCAGGTGTTTGATTTTTCAATTTATTGATTTCTCAATTTTGGGTTCGGTTTTCGGATTTTTCCGAAATTTTAAATTTAAGATGTTTGTATTGCACAATTTTTCGAATTTTTAAATTTTAGATTCTTCATTTTTGGGATATTTCGATTTCTCAGTTTTCCGACTTTTTGATTTTTCAATTTTTAGATTTAACGGTTTTTCAAAATTTCACAATTTTTCAATTTTTAATTTCTCGAGTTTTCAATTTTGGCCTATTTCGAGTTCTTTTTCAACTCTGCGATTTCTCGATTTTTCAGTTTTTCGATTCTGCAATTTTTCAATTTTTTAAATTTAAAATTTTTCGATTTCTTGATTTCTCATTTTTTTTTTATTTCAAATTTTTCAAATTTTTAATCTTCCAATCTTTCGAGTATTCAGTTTTGCGATATTCTAATTTTTTCATTATTTAAATTTTCGATTTCTCAATTTTTTATTATCAGTTTCAGATTTTTTATTTTTCCAATTTTTCCATTTTTCGGGTATTTGATTTTTCAATTTCTCGGTTTCTTAATTTTGCGATGTTTCAGTTTAAGGAAGTTTCGATTTTTTACATTTTCCTTGTTTTTTTGAATTTCAGGTTTTACGATTTTTCAGTTTTTCGATTTGTCTGTGTTTTATTTTTGCGATTATTTTTCCGAAATTTTAAATTTTATATTTTTCATTTCTTTGATATTTCGATTGATTTTTCGACTTTTCGGTTTTAGAACTTTTGGTTTTCCAACTTTTCGATTTCTGAGTTTCCGATTTCTCAATTTTCCAAATTTTCGATTTTTCAATTTTTAGAGTTATCGACTCTTTAAAATTCCTCATTTTTTCAATTTGTAGTTTTTCGAATTTTCAATTTTGGGTTATTTCGGGTTCATTTTCGACTCTTCGATTTCTCGATATTCTAATTTTTCGATGTTCAGATTTTAAGTTTGTTCAATTTCTCGATTTTCCAGTTTTTCGATTTTTCAATTTTTCAATTTTTTTAAATTTAAAATTTTTCGAATTCTCGGTTTCTCATTTTTTTGTATTTTTCAGTTTTTTGCTTTTACGATTTCTTGATTTTTCGACTACCGGATTTTTGAATTTTTTACGAAATTCGAAAAATCGGAATATCGAGAAATCGCAAGTTCGAAAATCGAAAAAATTGAAAAATCTTCCGGATAATAACAAAATCGAAAAATCGAAAATTCGAGAAAGTAATAAATCGCAAAGTGAAAAAAATTAACAATCGAAAAACCGAAAAATGGAATCAAAAATTTAAGAAATCGAAATGTAAAAAATGGAAAAGTCTAAAAACTAAAGAATGAAAAAATTTGCAGAAAGACTGAAAATTCGAATATTCAATGTATCAAAAATCGAAAATTTTTAAAAGTCGAAAATTCGAAAAATGGAAAATTTGAGAAAAATCAAAGAATTGAAAAATTTAAATATCAAAATTGAGAAGGATACAAATTGAAAATTCGAATATGAAAAAATCAGAAATTCAAAAAAGGGGAAAATGGAAACATCGATAGATCGGCAAATCGAAAAAACGAAAAATTGAAACATCGAGAAATCGAAACATCAAAAATTCGAGACATCGACAAACCGAAAAATCCAAAATTAAAATATTGAAAAATTGAAAAATCAAGAAATGAAAAAATTCCCAAAATTAAAGTGTTAAAAATTTGAGATATCAAAAATTTGAGATATCAAAAACTTGAGAAATCTAAAATTCGAAAAAAAATACTCCTATAATTTAGTGAAAAATCGAAAAACTGAAGACTGGAAAAATTGAAAAATCGAGAAAAAGAAAAGGATACAAATTGAAAATTCGAAATTTTCAAAAAATAGAAAATTCGAAGAATTACATATTCAAAAAACGAGAATCCGAGCAATCTGAAAATCTAAGAATCGAAAATCAAAAAACAGAAAAATCAAAAATTCGGATATCGAGATTTCGATAAATCGAAAAATCCAAGAATAGAAATATAAAAGAAAAACGAAATATCGAAAGTTGAATTACCGAAAGTCGAAAAATGGAAAAATTGGAAAATTGGTTTTAGATTTTTTGATTTTTCAACTTTTCGGTTTTTCAGATTCCGATTTCTCAGTTTTCCGAATTTTCGATTTTACAATTTTCTGATTTATCGACTCTTTAAAAACCTTGAATTTTTCAATTTTTGATTTTTCGAATTTTCAATTTTGGGCTATTTCGAGTTCATTTTCGACTCTTCGATTTCTCGATATTCCAATTTTTCGATGTTTCGATTGTAAGTTTTTTTTCAATTTCTCGATTCTTCAGTTTTTCGATTCATCAATTTTTCAATTTTTTTAAATTTAAAATCTGTCGATTTCTGGATTTTTCATTTTTTATTTTTCGGTTTTTTGATTTTACGATTACTCGATTTTTGAATTTTTTACGAAAATCGAAAAATGGAAAAACAGAAAATAGAAAAATCGAAAAATCGAGAAATCGTGAGTTCGAAAATCGACAAGATTGAAAAATCTTCCGGATAATAACAAAATTAATAAATCGCAAAGTGAAAAAAATAAGCAATGGAAAAACCGAAGAATGGAACTAAAAATTCCGAGAAATCGAAAAGTAAAAAAAAATGGAAAAGTCTGAAAACTGGGTAATGTAAAAATTATTAGAAAGCCTGAAAATTCGAATATCGAAAATCGAAAACTCGAGAAATTAAAAAATCGAAAATTAAAATAACTGAAATATCGAAAAACTGAAGATTAGAAAAAGTGAAAAATCGAATATTCAAAGTATCAAAAATCGAAAATTTTAAAAGTTAAAAATTCGAATGGAAAATTTGAGAAAAATCAAAGAATTGGAAAATTTAAATATCAAGAAATTGAAAACGATACAAATAGAAAATTCGAATATTAAAAAACCGAAAATTCAAGAAAAGAAAAATTCGAAAAAATGAAAAATTGAAACATCGAGAAATCGAAACATCAAAAATTCGAGAAATGGACAAACCGAAAAATCCAAAATTAAAATATTGAAAAACTAAAAAAATCAGAAATGAAAAATTCCCAAAATTGAAGTGTTAAAAATTTGAGATATCGAAAACTTGAGAAATATAAAATTCGGGAAATTTTAAACACTGAAAAAGTCGAGAAATGGAAAATTTTTAAAATCGAAAAATTAGAATCTTAATAAATTAAAAAATCGTAAATTCCAAATGGAAAAACTGAAAAAACAAAAATTCAAAAAATCTTAAGTAAAAAAATCAAAAAATCAAAAAATCGAAAAAATATAATTTATTGAAACAACTAAAGAATGGAAAAATTGAAACCTCGAGAACTAGAAAATGTTAGAAATTAAAAATTCGAATTTTTCAAAAAATCGAAAATTCAAAGAATTAAATTTTCAAAAACGAGAATCCCAGAAATCGAAAAACCGAAAAATCAAAAATTCGGATATCGAGATTTCGATAAATCAAAAAATCCAAGAATTGAAATATATATAGAAAAAACGAGAAATCAAAAATTGAAATAGTCGGAAAACCGAAAATTCTAGTCGAAAAATGGAAATATTGAAAAATCGAGAAATCGAAATTAAAAAATTCAAATCTCAAAAAATCGAAAA